TTATGTATTATTTTTTTGTTTTGTTTTGTTTTTATTATTTTTTTTTTTTTTTAGCCCAGCTCTGCCCAGCTCAAGATCAGATTCATCAGCCGGAATCTGCATTGGAATGAGCAAACAGACGAGTTGTTGACTTAGTAGCATCAGCTCATCTGCATGGATTTATGGGATGGTGGGCATTGCTTTCATCATCATCAGCTGCGCCAAAGGGAGCTCTTTTTGAGCCTGACTGACAGCTTACGATGCACGCGCAGCCTAAATTGCTCCTGATCCTAAGTATCGTCCGACATGAACGCGTTCTGAGTCTTCGACTCCTCAATACGGCGAATTTGCTGGCGCAGATACATAATTCTAAAACAGAGAACAAATCACATTAGCAACAATCTCTATGTATGTATGTGTATGTATATGTATGCCACATATAGTTGTACCCACTTTTGTTCTTGCAGCGTCGCATTGATCTCCGTGCTACGCACTAAACTCCGCGCACACTTCAATTCGGCGCATATCCGTGTGCAGTTGATGTCCCCAAATAGATGCGTGTCCTCGCAGCACTTTTGCGCCTGCAATAATCAATATATCAAATTCAAATATTTAAACATATACTAAACTAAGCCTCAAGCCGAAATTCTAATCGGCTAATTGAAGCCTGAAGAATACTAGGCCTAAGCTATCTTCCAGTGCAAACGCTTAGCATCATAATAGATTAACTAGCTATAGGATTTCTCCTATAGCAACTACTCTCGATAAAATCTTCTAGTTACCTGACGCTCCAGAATTTCCGCCTGCCAGTTGGTCACGTGCGCAATTAAATCAGCGCGAAAGTATTTTGCTAGCTTGGGTGAAATTTCCGGGCCGCGCAGATTTGCCGCCTGCACAGAGGCCACGCAGCTCTGGAGTGTGCTTAGCGTAGCCGAACCGGCGCCATCGACTATATTGTAAGAGAGCAATGATATGGAATTAGGCTACAAGGATTTTGAAATTGGAAATGCATGCACGGTGCTTACGTTTGCGCTGTTGTTGGGCCTGTTGCGACGCCTGTTGCGTTGCTTGCACCGCAGCCATGGCTGCTGCGGCGGCGGCTGCTGCAGCAGCCACCTGTTGGTGTTGATGTTGGTGTTGTTCTAAAGCTGAGCCACTTAAATCTAATTCTTGTGTTGGCGTTGGCGGTCCCTCGCCAAGCGCAGCTGCACCGCCGCACAAACTATTGCTGCCCATGGAGGTGATGACGCTGATGCCGCTGACAGTGCCCAGGCCGGGTACGTTGCAGCTGCTGCTGCTGCTGTTGCTGCCGGCAATCGCATTGCTATTGCCGATCGCATTTGACGCCGGTGAGGAGGACACCACGCCCACGCCAACGGCAAGCCCATCGACCGCCTTGAGGCCAAACGGTGCATTGCAGGTGTAGGCATTGCTTGCGTTCACATTGTTCGTGTGACTCACGATCGTTGGTATCGGACTCTTTGTATAGCTCAGCGATGGCGACAGACTATGATGGGCATGCGGTATGCACAGCGGTGAGTTGAGTTGGCTGCTATCCCTGTGGCACAATTAGGGGATATCAATGCTTAGTTGCTGGCAATCATCAATTGCTTTGCGGTACTCACCTTAAGCTGCCTAAGCTGCTTAAGCTGCCAGCAGTCACATTGTTAACCGAATTGTAGGCATGGTTCACGACATCCACGGATGAGCCACTGCCTGCGCCCGTTGGGCCCACGCCGCTGGCGCTGCTGCCGGGGACCAGCATATGATGATGGGGCACATCCATGCCGCTCAGGACTAAATGTAACTTCTGTCGATGCGACAATGCTGTCTGTTCCTTAACACCAGCGCCGATCAGCTTGCCAGGCGGCCCGGGCGCATTCGAGTTCAGATGATGATCCTGATTCGCCAGCGTCGGTACTGTCGTCTGTTAAGTGGAAACACACACACACAATTAGCAAAGGATATTCCATTGAGAATGCAAATCCTTGTCCAAAACTTACGCTGGACGTTGAGCCAATGTGGCCGACAACTGAGTTTCTAAGGCTGCTGTTGCTGCTGTTGGCAATGTTGGACGGCACCGAGGCCAATCCGCTGGTGGGCAACATTGTGGCGCCGCTAACAGGACCGCCTCCACCGCCGCCTCCGCCACCGCTGCCGCCGCCAGTGCCGCCGACACCGATGGCACCATAATGCGCACCAATGGGCGTGACCACAGCGCCGGTATTTGGATGGGAGGCCAGTCGAGGCAGTGCATTACACAATCCACCCTGTGGCATCAGAGACGACTGTTCACTAGACTGCATGCCGCCGCCCACGCTGCCGCCATGCGTGGTGGGTGTGCCGCTTAACGAATAACTGGCCTCCGAGGTGGGCGTCGAGTCGCCACTAATGTCCATATCAGCATTATCGTTATGTCGACCTGCAGGCAAATCAAACAAACATATATTAACGATCAATCGAACAACTTGAACTCGACTGCAATCATTCATTGCCACTCACCATCCAATCGCCTTCGATGGCTGGGCGGCCCGCCATCATTTTCGTAATTCCATCTCAGTCGTGAATTGTCGCGCGATGAATTGGAATGTTTGTATGCTGCGAATGTAGGAATAATATGTGTCAATTGTTGTGTACACTGTGGATGCAGACTGCAAGCGACTTACTCGATCTTGAGAATCGATCATCGCGATCTCGATCCCGATCCTTATCGCGGTAATCCTTCTCACGATGTTGATCACGCGGCAAATTTCTAAAACGAATCAAATATATATATATTTATTATAAATGATTTGCTCACATTTATGAACGCGATCCTTGACTAATTACAAGATAAATGAATGATATATACATCATAAATATCATAAGTTAGATAAGTCTGAAATCTAAGCTGTGAGACTAGATTTGATATGATTTGAATTTCTATATATATTCGAACATTAACTTTCTTCTTTGTTCTAACTGCAGATCATTCATAAATCTTGCTGCTTGTCAAGGTGCTGATTTGTAGTGGATGATTACCTTTCTCTATCTACCCATTCCTTAGGCTTCTCCCACTGGGAGACTTCAGTTTTGCAGTTATAGTAATACATTTTACCTGGAAGTGAAGAATCGATTTAATAATTATGGACAACATTGCTTTAGGTCCATTCGGATACTTACCGGATGAGCTCACATGCTCGCTCCAGTCGCCATAGCGCGCCACACGTTCGCCACGATCGCTGCGCTCCCGTTTGTCTAATGGAGGAACGTAACAGCGTAATTAATATATCTTTTGTCGATCTTTTGTGAATGCTGTGACTGCATACCTGCATATTTGTCCTTCTTGTACATATCCCGATCACGATCGGCGCCTCTGTCACGCTTGTCGCGCAAATCGCGATCACGCTCACGATCCCGATCATCGGAACCGGAGCGCTTATCGTTTTCGCGCGACGAGCATAGCTTTGCCACACCGCCACGACGATCCCTGTCGTGGTTCGTGCGATACGATGACTCCGAGTCGCGATCATTGCCGCGCCGATCACGTTTATCTGCAATGGTTTGGAATAATTGTATGAGAATCGGATTGATATATTTGGTTAGTTTGTGCATTTGCATAGCTACCGGAATATTTATCCTTTTTGTAGAGATCCCTATCCCGATCACGCATCTTTTGTATATAACTGTAGCGATCGTTGCTGCCACCTCCGCCGCCGCCACCGCCTCCGCCACTCCGATGATCGCTGCGTTCGCGCAGATCATGCGAGCGCGATGATGGTGAATCTATGTCCGGTGATTGTGAACGATAACTGTTGCCATTATTCAATGGACCGCCACCGCCGCCACCTCCTCCGCCGCCGCCACCACCACCTCCACCGCCGCCTCCGCCACCACCACCGCCAGGTGAAATGTCACGATCGCGATAATTGGAGGAACGATCGCGTTCATAGTCGCGCTTTGAACTGCTGTACTTTGAGCTCTGTCGAATAAGATGTTGAAATGTTTAGGATTTGCATTAATACTGGAAAGAATACACGCAATATACTGTATTCGGAATTAGGTTAATTGTTGTTATTGTCATTGTTATTGTTATTGATATGGATGTTGCTGTAGTAGTAGTAGTAGTTGTTGTTGTTTTTGTTGCTGTTATTGTGTTTATTGTTACAGCTGCTTGTTATTGATTATTATGATTATTATGATTATTATTATTGTTATTGTTATCATTGTTATTGTCATTGCCAATGTTCGAGAGAATGGGTTAAACAAAACAGAAAGCGGATAGTCGGGGGCAGGGGGGATATAGGGGAAAACAGAGACAGAGAGAGGGAGCGTTTCGAGAGATTGACATGATGTTAGTGAAAACAAAAACAAATGAAATATAAACAAACAATTAAAGCTACTTAAATAAACCAAAAGTAATTTTGCTACTATGATATCGTATTTAGCTCTAAATCAAATATTTGTTGCCAATTCATATAGTAGTTGATGCACATCATTTACAGCTGCTGCTGCTGCTACTGATGATGACGATGATGCTGATGATGCTGATGTTGATGATGATGTTGCCTGTTGATTGTTGCTCTTGGTTGGTTCTTGAGGCTGTGCAGCTCCAGAGATTTGGTTGTCATTTGAAGAATTTGGAAAATTTTGAATTTGTTTGTGTGTGCGTGTGTGTGTGAGCGTTTGCTTATGCAGCAAGGACAGATATTTGTGGGCGACACGTAACGAACACAAAACGAACATAAAACACGTAAACAATCAAAACGTAAAGTGAATTTGGTTTTTCTTTTCAGCTTTTATATGCGCGTTGCAATTTGTTGTTGTTGTTGTTGTTGTTCTTGTTCTTGGTGTGTGTATATGTATGTGCGTGTGTGTGTCATGTGTTATGGTTTTCTTTTCTTTTCGATTTGCATTTGATTTGGTTTCGTCAGCTTCTTTTGTTTTTCTTTCACAATTATTCAGTTCATTTTACTTTTGCCACTTGCGACTGCAATTTTCCATTGATTTGTTGTTTGTTTGATTGTTGTTTGCTTTAATTACTTACATCAACGCGACAGACTCCAATCGCAGCTGCTGAGGCTGTGGCGACTGCTGCTGCTGCGGCTGCTGCTGCTGCTGCATGTGCTGCAATTTTATTGCTGCTGTGACTGTTGTTGTTGTTGTTGTTGATGCTGTTGTTGTTGTTGTTGTTGTTGGTGCTGCTACTGCTGGTGCTATTTGTCAGCATGGACAAATCCACGGCCATGTTGCTTCTGCTGCTGCTGCTGCTGCTGCCGCCGCTGCTGCCGCTCGTCATAGATGGCGTTGGCGTTGGCGTCGTGCTCGTCCTGCCGCGCGGCCGCGTCTTCCTCAACTGACGTCGCGTCGTCGTCGCCGTCGTTATGTTTGTTGTTATTAAAATTATTCTTGTTATTATTGTTGTTGCTCTTGCTGCTGATGTTGTTGTTGTTGTTGCTGTTGTTGTCGAGTGCAGCAACACCTTCAGAATGCTGCTGAAGCACTGCAGTCTGTCTGCCTGGTCTGAGTTTGTTTATGGGAGTTTTAAAGACTTTTCCTTGCTTGCTTCCTGCCTCGCTGCTTCTCTCCTCTCTCTCTCTCTCTCCTTTTGCTTATATATATCCAATTGTTAGCGTTGTTTATGGCTTAGGCACGTTTGTGTTGTTGTTGTTGTTGTTGTTAGTCATAAGCGAGTTTTATGTTCAATTTGAATTTTAAGGCTACTTTTGAATATGCGCAGTGTTGTTGTTGTTGTTGGTTGTTTGTTGTAGTTATTATTTAAATAAATACTATGTTAATTGTTTATTGCTTTAGCTTCTTTGGTGTTGCTCTCTTTTGGTCTGGCAATTCGAAGTTCATTAAAGTGTTATCAAAATTATGCATTTACGTAAAATGTTTAATAAAATTTACTTGATATTCTGCTAGTTTTCCGTTTAGGCAAATATATATTAAATACTTGAACAATTTTCGATGCGTTTATACGATATCTCTTGCGATTCGGAATTAGTTTCACGTTTTCGATTGTTGTTATTGTTGTTGCTGTTGTTCGATTTAGAATTGTGGATTCCAGTGTTATGGATTTCTATGTAGCTTTATCCCAAGTGTTACTCTAATTACGTGTGTACATTAGTTAGATCAGTTCGTTCGATTCGCTGCAATGCCGCGTGCCCAAAATGCCGAGTGGATTGGAGGAGAGGGGGTGACAAATGAAAGTTGCGTCAGTACAACATACAGACGGATATAGATACGTATATATATATGCATATAGTATATGCACATATATAGCGAACATATCGGCTATATGCTTGTCGTGTGATTATGATAGCACCCACAACACACACCATCTCAATATATGTATGTAAATACAGCACACACACAGGTGCAGAGAAACCATAAACATCAAATGACTGTAACAAAGGAAGGATTCTAGCATGGATCTATGAGAGACAATCATGAATCTATGGACTTGGCATACATCTATAGTACAAACGGAACTAATTTGGCGATACAAATGAAAAGCAGAAACAGATAAGATAAGATAAAAAGAAAGCTTATGAGCTGATTAACAATCTCTAACAAACGAAGGATATATTATTAGTACGAGAAAGTTTAGTGTGACTGAGTTGTGGTAGAGGCGGGTTTAGCTTTTCTATTTTTGGTTGGTATTTGGTATTGGTATTGGGCTCTCGTCAATGGGTAATCCTTGCTCACCTGGTAGGATGTGTGACTGGTATGCTTCTCAAAGTACCTGCAAATCGAGAAAGTAAACAATCAGATTAAATGCCTCAAGTTAACAGTTAGTAGAGCATATCTACTTAGGTAATCTATGTTAAAGGTGCAAACCAAAGTGCAAACTGTATAAACTAAATAAATCATTGACTAGAAATAAATAACATGCGCAACACAAAAGCAACAAGTAATGTTATAAACTAAATATTTATTAGATCACTTCATGTTTCCATATTTCTTTGGTGATATTTTTTTGATTTGATTTTTGCTTTTTTTCGGTTTTTTTTTTTTTTTTTTTTTTTTTTTTAAGTCGTGATAACAATTGGTGAGTTAGTGAAGCAGTGCTATAGGGTTAATGGCATTATGGGAGGGAATCAAGTCGCCTGCGTTTGAATGGAGTACGTTCAATGAAATCATCGTCATCATCCTCATAGCCATCGCCAATATCATCATCAGCATTATATATACCATCGATACCATTGAGATTGATGTTACCAGTACCATAGGCATTGGCATCAGTCTCGCCATTGATACTAGCATTGTCATTGACATCAGCAAAGCCATTGAAATTAGTATCGTCATTGCCATTAGCAACATCATTGACATCATATTCGTTATTGGCATCATAGCCGCCATTGCCATCATAGTAGTTATTGGCATCAAAGTCGTCATCGGAGAACACACATTCGAATCCCCCATTGACCTCATTCTCGGCCCCATTATTGTCGTCATCGGGTAGATTATAGCATGGATATGCTTCGGTATGGGCAATTTTGCTCGATACCAACTTATTGTTGTTATCATAGACGCATTTGCAAAGCGTATAGACAACGGTGTAAGATGGCTGAATCATGTGAAGGGATACGGGCGGCTCGGTATCAGCCGGAGCCAGTTCAGCCTCCTCAGTTTCCTCAGCAACTTGATCAATGGTTTCGGGATCGCTAAGAGCAAGAGCCGGATTTGAATTGGCTTCCTCATCATCCACCTCGGACAAGTCAATCGTCAGCGTACACTTCTCTAGCTCCGCTTCAATGTGATCATAATCGCCATCAGGCACCAGGTTATAGATTCTATCGTTACATAGAAGGGCTAATTGTTCTGGACCATTCTCGGCAGCAGATGGCATTTGCTGGACGCTATCGTTGGTCAAGTCACTCAGGGTTTCGCTCCAATTCGAGCCGCGGCCCGAATCGCCCTCCGATTCTGAATCGTTCCAAAAAACATTCATATCCATTTTAATGTTATTCTGATTATTTGCAATTGTCGTGCAGCCGATGCAATTCTAATGAAAATGGGGAAAGAGATTCACAAATAATGCGTTTGTGATGGTTCTTCTTTTTCGTTCAATTGCATGGCCAAACGATGTTTGGCAGATATTTACCCACAAAAAAAATTAAAATAAGAATTTCAATTTGATTCGATTTTCCAATGAAAGCCAATTGAATTGTTAGTTCGCAGCGAAATGATTAACATGCAATGCGTGAGCAAATAAAGAAAATCAAACAAATTAATTAAAAATTAAATTCTAATGCTGCAGGTTATGTCCTTAACAGCTCTCGTCTCCAATCAAAAAGAATTGAGGCTGGACCGATTTTCTTTTGCTGCAGCGGTAAATGACAAGAGATGATGACAGAGAGAAGGAGAGCGTGCCATACAGCTGAGCAACTGAGAGTGTGCGAGCGAGAGGCGCATAAAGTGTGGTGAATAACTTGACATAGACGGCACACGAAAGACACAACGAATGAACAAAACGAACGTTTAGAGAATGAGCCAAAGCACGCTAAACGAGAGCAACGCAATGGAACAGAATGAAGCAAACCGAATATTACAAGACGACAATATGCAACAAACACATCAATTAATGTTTTTTTCTTTCACTAAAACATTTGCAGAAATCACATATGTTTCATACGTATAGTCACAGTCACATACAGCCATACACTCGTCTATGTAGATGGGTTCACTATCACGATTCGCGGGGCGGGGACATAAGCATGTGAATTTTTGCCTGTATGTGTGCATGTGTGTGTGTAAGCAGCAGCACGGAACGTGCGTACATATATGTATATGTAAACAAAAGTTAGCGTTTAAGTTTTTAGGGCTTTTCGACGTATCAAATGCACACAAATTGGTTTCACTAAGGTTTTAGTAACTACATAACTATTGATATACGTATTTATATAGTATATATATAGGTGTAATGCTATTCAAATTGTAATTTACCCATCGTTCATACGCTGCGGTTTTCTAGCATGCATTACCATCAATGCAAAGTTTTCGCCAATACGCTTCTCTTGTTATTGTTGTTGTTGTTRATATTTATATGATACAGAGTTCCTCCTCCTGGCCAAAGACGACAACGACGACGAAAACAATGGTAACGCTAGTCAGCAGTGGCATCAACTTGTCGACCCGCGCTGTTCCCTCTGCTTCTCTTTCAGATAATGGCGGCAGCGCTGCGATGCCTGGCTGCCGGGCCTCTTCCTCCCCGCTCTATGCCTCACGCCTTCCTGTAGCTCCTGCTCCACACTGCGGAACGCGCGGGTGTGTGTATTTATATATATATATATTTATATATATACGTGTGTGTGTGTGCGTGCTTCACTGTATTTGACTGTGTTTATGTGTGTCTGCGTGTGGACTTGTGTATATGTGTGCGTGTATGAGTTCTATCGCGGCCGCAGCAGTAGTCGTCGGCAATTGCCGTTCGCCGTTCGATGTTGCCTTCCTAAAAACACGGAAATGTGTTTGCAAACATCAGCATCTGGTCATAGCAATAATTCCAATCAAATTTGCATGCCTTCTTTGTGTTTAGTTCAACTTCTTTGAAGCTGATCTCTGTTTCACGCCTTCAAAAGCGCTCGCGGCTTGCACTTTTTCACTGGAGTATGCGTGCGTGTGTGTGTGTGTTTGTGTGCGTGCATATATGTCGGAGTATGTATATATGTATGTAAGTGTTGGTTGGCTGGTTGGTCGTCGTCGCTTCTTTGAATTTTTTGGCTATTTGCTGTTCAGTTTGGCTGTTTATCTTACCGCAATTTTCGTGCCGCTTGCATTCACTTTCTCGTTAATGCAGCCAGCATGCGATATTTTAAATTATTAATCAAAAATATTAAAATTTGCCTAACTGCTGCGTTTGCTTTTGGCCTCTATACTTGATGATTTTTTTCAATTCTCTCACATTACGCTTTGTGCGCTCTTCCGTTCGTCGGCACGGCACGGTTGTGTTGAGTTTACAGCGTTATTTCGTATATTTATCTCGCTCGGCGATGGTTATATGTTTATCTCGGTCACACCAGTAGTCAACTGCCGGCCGTTTACAGCACTAATTTTGCAGTGTGGTGAAAGTGGCACTATGTTATACTCGAAATGGCACTGTTATTACTCAATTGAACTTTTAAAGTGACGTTAACATAAGTCATTAACATTGTTATGTGAACGTAATGTTAACTATGTTCAAAATACAATTTCAAAATGAGATATACTTTGGAAATGGGAAAATTAATATGTGAAAAAATTGCTCAGTGCCATATAAACATTTCTTAAGCAATAGAAATATAAAGATTTGATTGACAACTCTTTTACTGATAAATTAAAAAGCCCGTTAATCGGTGGTATATCGGTAACTGTAATACCGATAGTTCAGCCAATCGATTTGTTAGCAGCAACCCTGAAGTGTAGAATTGTGTTCAGTGAGATATTAAAGCGCTCAATTAAAAGCCGGCAGATATGCTCCACAGTTCAGAGGACGGTGTAAGTTAACTACTATTATTATTTATTTATTAAAATCAAGCATTCAAAATYATCCATGCTTACAGTTGACAAGGAATCACATTTTCCTGTCGCCCAATGGCGATTACAGCCGTCCTATGCTGAAGGTAAGTCCCGTTCTGTTCGTCATAACTGCTGCAACTTTTCGCTGATCTCTGTTTCAATGCAGCTGTGTGAGCATTGTGTGAACCACGAAAAGAAGGTACTCCTGCTGACCCAACAACAATTCAATCTGCCTGCCACACTGAAGAAGCCGCGCTCGCTCGTCCACATGGAGCGCTGGATGAGCATCACATTGAAGGACATTGAGAGCGCACCGCGTCGCATTATTGAATTGTACGACTGCCAGCCGCGTCCTGATCTCATTATATTCGATATGTATTCGATTGTCGCCGAACTGCTTAGCCGTCCTGTGCTGCAGCAGTGCACAACCTCGACTCTGGTCCGGCACATAGCCAAGTGTGCCGCTGCCTTCTGTAATTATCTAGAAATGGTGCAGGCATCCAAGCAGAAGCAAAAACTAAACGCTGTCGACGCCATCATTGTCCTGCCCACCGAATCCTATCCACTGACCCAGGCGCAATTCAAACTGCTCATCGGACTCTACTTCAGCGACAACGAGCTCTATACAAACTTTGCCTCGCTCTCCGAACGAATTGGCCTCTCCATGGGGCTGCACTGATGCCCCAGCCCCCGACACAAATCAGCGAGTGCCTTAATTTATAATTAAGCTAAATGTTATTGTTTAATTCTTAAAATACCAGCCGTATATGCTGCCAAGTTTCTCATTGTTATAACCATTAGACTTATATCACAATTCGAGCAAATCTTTGGCCTATTGATGTCTCAAAGTATATACATATACATATATAAAGGCCTATTCAGAATCGATCTGACACAAAAACGCAGAAACATTTAAGTTAAGCTAAAGTTAACTTCTTTTTTTTTCTGTTACGTTTAATAAGTAAATA